TTGAGCCACACCTCCAGTGTGAGCCCACTTTTTCTTTTTTAATTTGCATTTAAAACTTACACACTGGTTTGCAGTGCAAATCTTACCGTGTCATAGTACAAGTCTACTGCAGGTGTAATATTATTCAAATATGTAAATATCTGTATTATAGAATTCACCATTTTACCACAATAAGTTATACACTGAAATAAACCATACGAATGTACAAGTAGCAATTTGGGGGTTCTTCATTTCCTTCCCTCTACACATAATGACTCATTAAATTAAGTCATTAATTTATAAATGACTCATTAATTCCTGAAACTCTATATCAGAAATGTTTCTCAATCTCATCCTTACCTCATTATCCCCAGTAAACCTCAATTTAGACTTTAAGGTCTTTCCATTGACCCTTTATACAATGTTATATAGTCTTCCTGCTAATAGACTCTTTTTACTCTAGTTCATCTTCTACACAGTTGCCAGATTACCTTCCTGAAACTGAACAAAGGCATTGTACTCATTGAGTTTACATTCCAGTGAAACAAACTAGAAAAAATAAATCAAATTAACATCTGATAATGAGTTATAAAAAAACAAAAGTAGGGTACACAGGAACAATACAGGAAGGACTAATTTTAGATACACAGGTGACATTTGCTAAATTCAACTAAAGACCAGCAGGGACATGCCAGGTCAAACCAAGTTGGGTTAAACGTCTTATTGCAAGGAGGCAAAGGCACCTTAGTAAGAGGATAATTGGGCTTGTTAGGTGATTTTGAGAAAGGATCAGAACTTAGCTCTGGATTGGATGCTGTTAGGGTGCAGAGGTAATTCTATAATTGGGTATTTGTTACCTACAAGGCAAAAAAAGAATACAGCAAAATGAAGTCTGTAAATGGCCAAGTAACAGTAGTCACAATTGCTAAATGTTTCATCGTATTTGTTTTGGAGTATGTTTTATTTTCTTGTGGAGGGGTCTTACTTTCACCTTGTCTAATGGTCACAGGGTGGCCATGTTTGGTACCGATGCTTTGTACTTGCTATGGTCAATAGAACACTGAGTTAGTTACTGGCTAGACGCCAGTAACACCAAGGCCTAGCTAGTAGTATTAGTCTAGCTTCTGGCTGTAGGACTGGCAGTTCCTGGTTATTCCCCTCACTAAAAATGACATTAACTGCTAAAGTTGTCACTATAATTGAAATGTATAACTCTTACTCATCATTCTCTTTCCTGAATATTTATCAGGAAAGATAAATGAGTTTCAAAACTCATTTTACACTTTTGGTGACAGCTTACTCATTGGTAAAATATACAAGACTCTGCTACTACTGCGGTAAAGCAAAAAGGAGTGGTCCTGTGGCTCAAGTGGTAGAATAACCTGCCTAGCAAGCACAAGGCCCTGAATTCAACCCCCACCCCTTACTGCCAAAAAAACAAAGCAAAACAAAAAAGAATAAAAGAAAAAAAATAGAAAGGAAAAGAAGGGTTAGGGATAATCCCAGGTCTCAGAAAACTTGCAATTTTTCTAGGGATATCTGTGGGGGGTGAGTGAAGGAAATTGGTGAAAACAGACATGATAATCTTTGAAAAAAATTTTTTTTTTGTGGCTGGGAATTAAACGCAGGGCCTGTACATACTAGACCATTTGGGCCACATTCCCAGCCCTAATCATCTCTTAACTACAAAACATAACTTATTTTTCATATGAGAAGCTGAGTCTGATGGCTAAAAGGCTGTAGATTTGGGAATAAAACAGGCATTGTAAATTTCAGAAACCACTTCAAAAGTCTCAGAGTCATTTACCTAAGTTTTCTCTGAAAATGAGAAGCTGGCATAGAATGTATAGTTCTCATGGGTCCGCGTGGTGCTGGGCTCATAATCACATACAGAGCTTTCTAAAATTAGGTTGACATTCCAGGGCCACAAATGCAGAGACTGATTTGGCATTCAATTTTAAGGTTCATGATGTTTTCCTGTATCTTTTATTGATGAATAGTATTTCACTGGACAAATGTTCCAGTCTGTTAATACATTCTCCCAATGATGGACTGTTGGCAGTTTCTGGTGATCATAAAGTTGCTATGAACATTTTTTGCACAAGCTTTTGTGGAATATGCTACTATTTCCGAATAAACCACAGATGTGGGAATTTCTGGATCACAGGATAGATGTATGTTTGAAAGTTTTAGAAACTTTTTGTTGTTGTTGTTGCGGTACTGGGGTTTGAACTCAAGGCCTACACCGTGAGCCACTCCACCAGACCTTTTTTGTGATGGGTTTTGAACTCAAGGCTTACCTGAACATGGACAATATGGACTCGCTCATGTCACGATGTGCCAGGGAGAGCTCGAGGACACACCCACCCAACTGAGAACATCCACACACACCCAAAGGTGTAACCAACCCATTACGCCGCAGGACAGGCTACACCCAAGCAGCACAGGCTGGTTGGCAGTATAAAAGCTGACCAGCAGGACTGGCCCAGCAGAGCACACTTCTACACACCCTCCGCCAGCAATCAAGGGACTATTCCTGTGTGCCTCTCTTTGCCAGCCTTCTTGCCACTCTGGCAGGCAACCTTCCTCAGTCGTTCTCGATCTCCCGTGTCGCAGCACTGGTCCACGGCCACCGGTACCTTCTAGCTCTGGCCACCCTCTACAGGTCCGTTTGGTCGCCTTTCCCGACAGCCGTACTGTGGACCCAAGTGCTTCCTGAAGGCTTCCGCCAGTGAGCTCTCCTCGCTTTCACGAGAACCCGCTTTCTGTTGGTGACTCTTCCGCCGAGGTCCCCTTCTTCCTCTTGGTGAGGTGTTAGGTGTGTAGCCATTCCCTCCATAAATGTGTGAACTGAACTTGTGGCCCTGCATCCTCCCTCACGTGTGTCGCTGGCCGTGTGGTTGAACGCCACGACTGAGTGCACGCTTTCGTGAGCCTGTTCACTACACTTACACCTTGAGCCACTTCAGCAGCCCTTTTCCGTGAAGGGTGTTTTTCAAGACGGTTTCAAGAACTATTTGCCACGACTGGCTCCCTTCTGATCTCTGCTTCCTGAGTAGATAGGATTATAGCAATGAGCCACAGGCACCTAGCTAGAAACAATTTAAAACATAGTTCTTCTTTTGTGTGCTCAAAAAGCAGCCTAGTAAAGATGCTGAAGAATCTGTGATAGGGTCTTAAGACTGACCCCTGCCAGAAAATTGCACAGGCTCAAATAGTGGTCTATATCCTGATGTGCCTTCATCTTGCTACACTGCTTTCTCTGCACACACTCTCAGGTTATCCTTTTTTGTAGCTTTTTAAAACGACTGACACTTCTCTTCCACTTTTCAGTAGATAACCAGGCTTCGCCTTAATGTAAAGTAGAAACTACCAGAAAGAACTCTCTCTTTCCTGCCACAAAAGATCTATCTCTATCCAGTCTTTGTTTCCTTTCTTCATTCCCTCCATCACAATAAAGGAAACGTCCCTCCTAAAGAACTCTCCATTTCATCATACTGGCTGCTATGGTTTGAGCATTCCCTCCAAAACTGATGAAGTTTAACTGTCACGTAACATTAAGAGGCAAGACTTCAACAGGGGATCACAACATGCAGGGCACGCCCTCAGGAATGGCTTCATGATGTCGCAGGAGTTCCTGATAAAAGGGATGAGGACTAATTTTCTGTCTCCAGTGCTGCCTTCCCCTATCATCCTGTTAAAGCATAATATGGAGATACTCTTGTACTTGCCAGCCTCAAGAACCATGAGCCAAATAAACTTCTATTATGTGTAATTTACCCAGTCTGTGGTATTTTGTTACCGCAGCAGAAAACAAGGGTACTGGTTCGTTACAATCGGTATCCAATTCCTTGTGAAAGCAGCTATGTCTACACAAGATACTGCCCTAACTTCATTATAGTTAAACCTTTTAAAGGCTTAACAGTAAGCCTACTTCCTCTTTCTCACCTAGGCCACCAAAGGTTGCCATGGAGGCACTGCACAAGCACGTCTACAATGGACACACAGCCAGAACGCGCATGGTGCAAACAAGTCACTTGGAGTCCCTGGCCTGGAAGCCGGCATGACTCGCTGGTCTGAGAAACGGCTTACTGCAGGTTGTAGGTAATTTGATACACGCTTTCGTTTGAAATAAAGTAGAAAGACTACAACTTTAGGAACAAGTAGGAAAACAAGTGGGGGAGAACACAACCCACTGGCCGCTCACATGGCGGGTGCGCGCCACCCAAGGGCATCGCTCTGCCACTCCCTCTGGGGCCCCCTGCAGCTTTTCCGGCGGAACTCGTTTCCCGGTTCCGAAGTGACCCCAGTTTCCGAGTCGGGGGTGACTGTGGGGGTGGGACGTGAGGGAAAGAGCCGTGCGGCTCCTGGCCAATGGCAGCTCCTGAACTTACACCTCCAGACGTCAGCGTGGCTGTGGAAACGGATGTCACACAGCTGGCTCGGAAGTGTCTCCTCCCCCCTCAGGAGAGAGACGTGCGCCCGGCGAGCTCCGACAAACCCCGGGAAATGTGGAGGAAGCGCGTGCGCGGCGCCTCACACTCTAGAGGGTCAGCCTCTCCCCGATATTGCCGGTCCAGCGGCCCACCCGTGTGAGAGAGGGGCACTGGCGTTCCCGCCCCGCGCGCGCCCCCGCAGCCAGCTCCACCCCCTCCTGGCACGGGGCGCGCGCTCCTGCGGCTCCAAGCTGTGTCGCGGGCGCGCGCGCCGCCGGCGGAGCCGCAGTTAAAATGGTCCGAGCGGGACCCGGCGTTGCCCCCGCCGCGACGCTGACGGACTGAGCCGGCTAGCAGGGTCCGGACTGGTCGCCTAGCTGGCAGGCTCGCTCGCTCGCTACCTCGCGTCCCCAAAGCTCGCGCCCATCGTCCTCCCGGCTGCCCTGGGTAAAGCATGTAGCCCTCCGTCGGGCACCCGGGCCACCCGCAGCTGACCCCCCCCCCACCGTCGCGTGTGCCCGTGTGTGCGCAGGGCGGGCGACCCCGCTGTGGGCCAGAGGCCCAGCCAGCGAGCGGCCTGCCCCGCTGCCAGGAGCCCGCCTCTCCGGGCCTCCCTCCCGCCCCGTCCCCAGCGCCCTCCTCGGCGCCTTCTATATGGGCCACCTTCTCTCGAAGGAGCCGCGTAGCCGCCCGAGCCAGAAGAGGCCTCGCTGCTGCAGCTGGTGTCGCCGCCGGCGCCCTCTCCTCAGGCTGCCCCGCCGGACGCCGGCCAAGGCGCCCCCCCAGCCGGCGGCGCCCCGGAGCCGGGACTGCTTCTTCCGCGGGCCCTGCATGCTCTGCTTCATCGTGCACAGCCCCGGCGCGCCCGCCCCCGCCGGCCCAGAGGAGGAGCCGCCGCTGTCGCCGCCGCCGCGGGACGGGGCCTACGCCGCCGCCTCCTCCCAGCACCTGGCGCGGCGCTACGCGGCCCTGGCCGCTGAGGACTGTGCCGCCGCTGCCCGCCACTTCCTGCTTTCCTCGGCCGCCGCCGCCGCTGCCGCCGCTGCCTCGGCTTCGTCGCCCGCTTCCTGCTGCAAAGAGCTGGGGCTGGCCGCGGCCGCCGCCTGGGAGCAGCAGGGCCGGAGCCTCTTCCTGGCCAGCGTGGGGCCCGTGCGCTTCCTGGGGCCGCCCGCCGCCTTGCAGCTCTTCCGGGGGCCACCGCCGCCGCCAGCCGAGCCCCAGGCGCCCCCCGAAATGGTGTGCAAGCGGAAGGGAGCCGGGGTCCCCGCCTGTACGCCCTGCAAGCAGCCCCGCTGCGGCGGCGGCGGTGGGGGTTGCGGCGGCGGCGGTGGCGGCGGCGGCGGCGGCCCTGCGGGGGGAGGCGCTTCGCCGCCGCGGCCCCCCGACGCTGGCTGCTGCCAGGGTCCCGAGCAGCCCCCGCCGCCGCTCTGCCCCGCGCCCGCTTCCGAGTGCGCCCCCATCGAGGCCGGCGGGGACGCGGTCCGAGCCGGGGGCACCGCCCCCTCGTCCGCCCAGCAGCAGCATGAATGTGGCGACGCGGACTGTCAGGAGCCCCCCGAGCACCCCTGCGACTGTCCCAGGGAGCCGCCCCCCGAAACCCCAGACATCAACCAGCTGCCGCCGTCCATCCTGCTTAAGGTGGGTGTGGGCGAGAGGCGCAGGGATGCCCCCTTTCCCCAACCCGCCCCCACCCCGTCCCGGAGCCCGCGCTCCCCTCCCCCTGCGCGCGCGGAGGAGGGGGTCCCCGACGGCCGGGGGACGCCCCCCACCCCATCCCTCCACCCCGGGAGGCTGGGAAGCCTGCGGGGCCCGGCTGTTGACTGCAGTCCGCCAATGCCCTTGAAAAGCTGAGGTTTGTGGCCCCCAAATCAGGGGTCATTTGTTAGGCTCCTAGCCCACCGGCGTGAAATTACTGGGAGGTTTTCTCTGCAGTATGTGTAGTTCCCACAGAGACTTTACGTTAGTAGTTGGATGTTTTCGAACGGCACTTTGAAGCTTTGGTAGCTGCTAGTTAGTGGCTGTAACAACCCACTTTTAGTAAGCACTTGCCGTGATCCGTGTAGCAGAGCTTCAGGCACAAATCTGCCGTCCTCCAGTTACACTGTGAGGTAAACTCTGGGAATCCCTGTTTTATACAAGAAGAAACTGGGTTTCAGTGCTTTGGGTCAGAAAGCACCGGTGAGGCAGGCAGAAGTGGTCTTTGCTCTTGCGGAGCCAACAGTCCAATGGGGCTTGAAGTGGTTGAATGCCTTGCACAAGGTCACACACAAAAGTAAAGGGCAGATTTGGGTCTTGAACTAGGAAACTTAGGTCAGCTTGATTAAAAAAAAACAAAAACAAAAAACAAAATAACAGAACAAACCCTGTTGTGCTGTGTTGTATTTCCAACATTTTAACCTTTACATAAAAGCATATAGATGACCAGAAGTAAGAGTAGCAGTATTTTGTTGTTGTTGGAGATGGGGGTGAGTGGAGAAAAATTCTCTTTGAGAACTTTGTGTCACTTTTAATTACTGAGTAAAACTTGCAGCTTTGTCAATGCTAGTGACAAACTTTAGTTATGTCATTAAATTTGTATTAAGTTATTAACTATCCCCCCTTGTTTTCTTCCCTGCACCTCCCTTTTTGGAACTTAATAAATAAAAACGTTCCTTTCCAGTGTGGATGATGTTTAAGCCAAGCCAGAAATAATCTTGATAAGAATTTGGCTGCTTATATTGTTACTGAAGTAACTGTCATGAATTACAATTGTTACTGTCCTCGATATGCTTTCTTTGATTAGACTTCTTGCATATTTATAAATTCTTTATGTTTGCATCTGTTTTACTGTGACATTAATGTTCTTATGAAAAATACAGCAGTGGGAAAGTTTACATTTCCTGTGTCAAATGTAATGTTACGGAGTTCTATTTGCTGGAGGAGCAATTGCTTACTCTGTGTGTGCAGGGGGTGTGTTTTAGGGCAGAGGGAGCTTTCTCTATACCTTTAAATCACTGGATGCCGTGGATAAATAAAATATCAACAAATATTTGGTATAGAAATTTCATTGCTGTGTTCTTATTTAGCAAGTAAGACTGTTTAACAATTAGCCAAAACAAAAATCAGATACTTTCCTCTTCCTACCGTGACTAGTATTTCATGAAGCACATTTTAAATATTAACAAAGGAGAAAGGATGTGATCTCATAATAAAGAGAAACCCTGTAGAATAAATTTTTTCTATTTACTACATTGTTCTTTTTCTCATTTTGCTGTGCATTATTGAAAACCTGGCCTAAGCGACACTTAGGAACTACTCATAGACTTGCTTTTTTGTGTTGGGAGTGTTTGGACATGTTATATAGATGTCCATAACTCATATTAGAAACTTGAATAAAGATTCTGTGCTTTAGTATCATGGTCCTAGTGGTAACCAACATGAAGTGAGCTGAACTGGCTGGGATTCATTGAAATAGAGATTTTTTTCTGTGTCTGTCAACCCAAGTAGAAGATTTGGGGGCACAAGGCCTACATACATATTTCATTCATTGCTCTGTCACCTCCCCTAAACATAGTGCGTGGCATGTGTTGTAGTAGCACCCAGTAAATGAATGAATGCATGGTTGATTAGGTGTTCAGTGTCTGGTTTGAGACTAGGTGAGTATGCCACATCACTGAAAGAAGGTTCATGTTTGACTTGAGATACTGTTGTTTGAGTCACAGTGGAGCCATAAGGTATTGAGAAATTCCAGCAATGATTAGAGAAGAGACGACTTAGGAGGCTATGACAATTCTCCCTGCAAGTATTAGAAGGTTTGTTGCATAGAGAGGCACAGATCCAACATCCATGTTGGAAAATGTTCTTAGAAAGTATACCCCACTCCTCTAATAATGGATAAATAGCATTTATAATTGTATTGCTTCAAATATTGTATTAGTAAAATACTATAGTTGCTTAGAAATGGAGGGGGGCGGGAAAGTTTGGGAGAGAAATACGAGAAAATGTGATTTAAAGGTTGTTTTTAGGACAAAGCTACCATACTTGCCCATTTTTTTCCAGGTATGACAAAAGGAAAACATTGAACTCTTGTGTTTATTCATAGACTTAACTTTGGCTCCATATCAACAAGAATGGTTCTCTTTTATTTTACTTTTATATAAGTGATAAATATCCTTTTTTTAAAGCATTCAAATATTGCTTGTAAAGACAATGTTTGCCTGGCTTCCACTCTGTCTTCCCATGTAATTTCCAAGGGGCAGATAACCACTATTAGTAATTTTTTTTTTTCTGGGCAGTACATTAGCACTAGCTACATGTATTTAAATTTAAAGTGGTTAAAATTTTAAATTCAGTTTTCTCAGTTATAAGAGCCACAGTTCCAAAATCTGTACTCACATGTATTGGACTGTGCAGGTAGAGAATATTTCCATCATTGCAGAAAGCGGATAAATGGTATGGAAATCTAAATGTTCTGTAATTTTGTTGTTAATATAGTTTGGAGGTCTTGGTTAGTAAGCATATGGTTTCCTTTATTTTTAACTTCTGCTTACTCTTCCATATTATTAAATCATATTGTTTTTCTCTTAGATGTTTCCAGCTGGGTGCTGGTGGCTCATGCCTCTGATTTTAGCCACTCAGGAGGCAGAGATTAGGAGGATCCAGGTTCCAAGCCAACTCAGGCAAACAGGTCATAAGACTCCATTTTGAAAATAACCAACACAAAAAAGGGGGCTGGTGGAGTGGTTTAAGTGGTAGAGTTCCTGTGTAGCAACTGTGAGGCCCTGAGCTCAAATACCAGTACTGCCCCCAAAAAAGATCTTTCTAATTTTTTGCTACTGAGAACAATGCTTAGAGCTGTTTTCTGTGCACATGTGATTATATTTTTCTAGGCTAGATTTCAAGAAGTGGAATTTCAGGGTTGAAGAGTATGTTTGGAAATTTAGAAAGCCTTTTTTACATAATTATAGCTGTCTAAAAATGGAATGAGTGTTTTTCTTGGAATTGTAAGACTTACTGGAAATCATACTTAATGTAACATCAAAATAGAAAGATTTGAGAGGTCATCTAATCACTTCTCCCCCTCCCTTTTTTTTTTTGGTGGGACTGGGGTTTGAACTCAGGCCTTCCACGCTTGCTAGCCAGGCAGGCGCTCTACCATTTGAGTCACACCTCCAGTCCATTTTGCTCAGAGTATCTTGGAGATGGGGTCTTGAGAACTGTTTGCCTGGGCTGACATTGAGTGATGATTCTCTCAAATAGGTAGGATTATAGGCATGAGCCAACTGGTGCTTGTCTTCGCCTCTCTTCTTAATGTGTGCAGAAACAGACATGGAGAAGTGAAATGGTTTACCTGAAGACATTTTAGTGAATGGCAGACCATGGGATCCATCCCAGCTCACTGTTTCCACATGCAGAGATTAATATTTATTTATTTATTTTGGTGGTATTGGGGTTTGAATTCAGGGCCTCATGCTTGCTATGCAGGTGCTCTATCACTCCACCAACCCCTTTCTTGTGTTGGGTATTTTTGAGAATATTTTGTGACCTGTTTGCTCCAACTGGCTTCAAACTACGAATCTCCTGATCTCTGCCTCCTTAGTAGCTAGGATTGCAGGTAAGAGCCACTGGCGCTTAGCAGGTATAGAGATCTTTTCAATATACTGTTTAAGAGAGCCTGAATATTCTCTTGAGGGATTTTGTGAAAGGAATTCCTGCATTGTTTGTGGAAGGCTTACTCCAGACAACTTCTAAACTACTGAGTCAGAGGCCAATTTTGTAACTGGTCTGTTGGATTGAGTTGTGATCTTTCAGTATAAGAAATTTGAGAAGCAGAGAATGGCTCCTCAAAGATCAGTTCTGGGAGTAGCATTTTTCTTAAATGCTTAAACCTGTTACAGTTAGTCTTTGGTTACTGGATTGTTAGGAATCAGATAAATTAGTTTAAGTCTGCTACTTGTAGCCTTTACAACTTGAAGCCACTTGACCTACTGAAATCACAATTCAGCTTTTATATGGTGGAACCTCTGCAGCAATTTTCTTTACCTAGTTACTATTTGAGTAATTGGGTATCTTGAGATCTACATTTAAATATTAGAGGCTTTGTGTGTTTTATGTTTAGATTATTATGTTTTCTGTCAGCAAACCTTTTGCCAAAATGAACTAGATGGGAGATGTAAAAATCTATCACCATTGTTAGAAAGCAATTTCACAATGAATTGACTCTGATAATGTCTATAGATATTAAATTAAATCTTTATTTTGATAGATTTATTACCAATAAGTTGCTTTAGTGGCCCAAACAGGGTTTTTGGGAGATGTGCTTTGGAGGAAAGCTTATGTATCTGATTTATTTTTTCCAGATACGAAAAACAATATTGAAGGCACATAGAAATAAATGAGAGTCAAAGAAGAAAAGCAATACCTTTTTTTAAAACTTAGAGTATAGCTTACTAGTGGATAGAGAGAATTACATTATATATACCATTTCATGAATGTTTGATTAAAGGATCCAATAATCAGATTACCTTTAGAAAGAATGTCTCTGGAGTTCTAGGGATGATTTTAGTTTTTGGCTTTAGGAAGTCAGGTTCACTTTCTTTGCTGAAGGATGCCAAGTAGTCTTTTAACTTAAGCTACCAAAAAGTGACAGTTTCTTACTT